ACACTCTTTGACACCTAGGGGAACTTTAATGCAGCCAGTCCACCTATTGGCATGTTTATGGGCAAAAGAAACCAGAGAGGAAACCCACACAGACACGGGGAGAATATGCAAGCTCTAATCTCTCAACAGTAACCTGAGCTCAGGACCAAACCAAGGATGCTATGTCTGTGAGGCCACAGAAATATGTCTCCCAGATTTGGTCATTGTTTCCATTGCCAAGTGAGCTGTACTGTAACTAAGTATCTGTGTTAAATTTGATTATTTTAAACATAAATACTGAAATCTGTAATAAAACATAAAATCATGATGGGGGATGGGACATTGGTACTCACCCAGGGTGTAGTTAATTCTGGATTTAGATCAGAATCAGTTTTATTTCCATACAATTCATTGTCCTGGTGTGTGGACATGTTACATACTAAACAGTGTTTGACTATTTCCAAACATGCATCAAGTACAAGAAATAGACAAAGGAGGAAACTAACTTAAAGTGCTATATGCTACAGAGGTATAATGTCTTTGTGTCATGCTGTACTTCACTGTCTAGTCGAAACACTATATGTTTTAGGGGCTCCTTCACTCCTCCACTCTCTTTTTCTGTTTGTGTGAATCCAGTGGATTAGTGCTTTAAGCTCCATCTTCCTCTTTGAGACTGAGTCTTCCTCAGAGGAAGAAGGATCAGCTCTTTGCTTGTGTGATGTGGATGAACAATACATGCAAAGCTGTGCAAAAGAACCAGGGGAGCATGTGTATTTTGAATTGAGGCACTGTTTTGACAAGGAGGGAATGTGTGTTTTGTCTCCTGTGTGTATAACTGAGACAAAACATCTCATGTGGCCCATTTCTGATTTTGTTCAAATATTTCATCATTCTGTTCATCTACTGTACATGAAACACTTCCCTTCAAATTTCCCTTTAAACACTATACAGAGTTATTCACATACTGTTCTATTCCATACTTCATGTATATTCTAGCCAGTGGACAAGCGATTTCATGGGTCTATATTATTAACGGCATGGTGGTGCAGTGGGTAGAGTTGTAATTTCACAACTTCAGGTCACTGATTCAATCCTGAGCTTTGGTTACTGTTTGTGTGGTGTTCTCCCAGTATCTGCATGGAGTTCCTTCAGGTTCTCTGGTTTCCTCCCATCTCCTAAAATCGTGCCGATAGATGTATTGCCTCTAGATGTGTGTGCGTGTGTGCATGGTACCCTGCAATGGATAGGCTGTGGATACCACAATCCTGACCAGGATGAAGCAGTTACAAAAGATGAATGAATTATTATATACATGTAAAGCTGGGTAACACAACTATAGGTGCATTTGATTTAGCTGACAAAAAAAAAAAAAAAAATTACGATTCAGCCAGATTTCTCCTCCTTTCTCCTCCTGTGAAATTGGGTCTTAACAATGCCAATCTAATGAGGACCAAGTGTGAAAAGGAAGTAGGCAGAGATTTAATTCGCTGTACCAGCGAGCGTTCCCATCCCACCCCTCCACCTGAGGCTTTGTCCCTCCAGGCAGGAGACTTTACATACCCGAAGTGGCCCACTGTGCACAAATCCCTCACCACACTCTAATCAAACATGTTTGCACCTTTCAAAAACCAGGTGACTGGCAGAGCTTAATTTCACCTCAGCCTGGCTAATCTCCCCAAGTCCACTCTCCTCTTCCTTTACTGCTGACTGTACATGGGCTGTTCTTATTATTGCTGTTTTGTTCTTTCTTCTTGAAGCCTTGAAAAAAAAAGAATCTTTGCTTTTTATCCATTTGGAGCACGCGCTCCATGTAAGCTTATTATGAAGGGACATGATTGATTGCAGTATCTCCCAGATGTAACAATGTACAATTGACAGTGGACTTATGAGTTCACAAGACCAAACATTTCACTAAATGAGAGAGATTGTGAGGGAAAGTTTCTCTCTCTCTCTCTCTCTCTCTGCACAGACTTATAGTATCCTGTTACTGTCTCGCTCTAATACATTGCTAAATTGGAAATTTCAGTTTTCTTCATCTGTTTTCTTTTTTAGTATGAAACTTTGTTACCTCCAACCCAGGCCAATGACAGAGATTTCTATTTTTGCACATAGATATGATATATCTCTGCTTCATTCCTCATGCCGTGCCCTAAGGTGATGCATCACAATATAATACAGTCCCATAAACCGATTTCTGCACAACAGCCCCAAGCAGCATTCTAGCAGTAAGAGGCACCAAATCTTTAGAGGAACGAGATGTGGTGCACCCCTCCACTCAGCGCCGCCTGACATTAGGTGGAAACCAATAAACTGTGGGAGATAAGAGGTAATGTAGGATCTGGTGAGAGGCTTAATAATCATCATGTCTATAGTGGTCGCTCCCCTACTGTCACTGAGAGCTTTGTGCCTTCAGTTCACTTTGTGTAAGAAGGTGTTATAGGTTTTATAAGTTTTCCTCAAACTGTACTGATGTAAATACGTACAGGAAGACAGTTTCTGTACTTGTGAAGAGCAGCATTTTTTTTTCTGTGTATGGCTAGGAATGGTGATATCGGCACCATTTTGGTGTTACCAGCTGTTTGCATTAGATCAGCAGGGTAGGACTGATACCAAAGACTACTGATACACTGATTAAACCATGTTGTGAATGACTTTAACCCTATCTATTAAACCTGGGACAACACTTAGAAGTGTATGTATAAGATAGCAGTAGCATACAAATCTTATATTTATTAGCTACTTGAGTGGGAAATGGAAAATCTCCCATTTTCTTGGCCACCCTATTAATTAGACTAAAAAACAGCAACTAATTAATGATTGAGTATGATGAGCTAATTATGTGCATTAATACAGACTATGGAGAATAAGTGCAGTCTTGAATTCCCAGGAGGGACAACTTTATGTAACCATAGTCTCTATTGGTACAGCACATCACGATGCTGTCCTCAGCAAACAGACAGCAAATATTTGGTTGTCTCTGTTTATCATCTTCGTTTTCACTTAGCAAATGTGACTGCCTGTTATACTAGCATTAGCCTCATATAACCGTTTTTGTGCTGCACTGTACTTTTGTATTTTCCTCGATGTCATGACTTTTCGGATCCCTTGTGTTCTTGATTTTGAAAAACTTTTCTTGCTTGTATAGTTCTGTGGGTTGTGGATTAGGAAAAGAGTAGCGTGCATCACAGCATTGAGGTGTGTCACGCCACTGTGAATTTTTTTGAGCCAGTCGGAGCTCATTATGTCTAAACAAACATATCAAATGGTTTGTTAAATCAGGAGAATGCTGGTGACCACTGTATCAGTAGCCAACTGAACCTACTTGTTAGCTCATTAAGATACAAATGAAATGCAAACGTGTAATCTGCAGCCCTATATAGTATCGACAGGCATCTGTTTAATTTAATGTTAGCATCTTCGTATGTGTTCTAAAAAAGGACACGCCAGCGTCTAATGTATTCCTTTCCTGTAGTATATGTGTGATTACCACAGACCAGAATTATGAAACACTTTCCTGTACTGAGTAAAGAACTTGAATGTATTTACTGAAACATCTCTAATAAGTCAGGTCTAAGGGCAGTTGTTGAATTCTGTCAGTAAACATCTGAATGTGCTTACTCTGAGCTAACTCATAATTACAAGTTCTTCCGTCTGAAAAAATAGTCCCATCTTGTGAGTGAATTATACACATTTATTTACATTTGCAAACAACTTTAACTGAACAATTTATGAAAGATTTTGCATAACGCACATAATCTCAGCAACTGTCCTTAGGCTTCCTTTATAAGTGACTTTTTTTTCTTTCCTAAGCATGGGGAAATGTGTCAAATCACTCATTCAGTACAGATGCAGTAGATAGAAATTGGGTAGAAAACTCTTGAGTATTTCTTTAAAAATAATACATCTTTTGAGTATTGACTTTGGCACAAATATTTGGCACAGTATTGCAGGATTTCTGACACGTGAAACCTGTGCCTGATAGTAGCATGCTAACAGGAAGGACTGCCAGCAAACACCACATGGGTTTCTGGGGAGTTGACCAGAAAGGGATGAACTGTATGAGCCCTCAGAGTGCTTACACACACACAGGGAGTCTAAGAAGGCAATGACAGACAGGTCTCGGTCTCTCAGAGACTGTATTTCCAAGGCAGTGCATGGCGGATTAGCACGTTATATGGATAAAATGAACTGCCTCAGCTGTCACAACATACACCCATGTCCTGATCTCAGAAACACACATACACATACTTCATTAGCACCTGTTCAGCTTTCTTTAGAGCAAAGGCCATCTCTTGGGAATTGCGTGTGCATGTACATACTTGCATGCCCTTCTACTGTATGAGACAAAATCCGAGGAGATTTCCGAAGCTTCTGGTCAATGCTTTGAAGCTCTGAACTTTTCACATATCCATCTGTCTGCTGAAGCTTTATGAGACAGATGTCCATGCTTCTCAAACATCTGCCCTGCACCCCTCAATCCTCTCTCCCCTCTCTCCCCTCTCTCTCTCTCTCTCTCTCTCTCTCTCTCTCTCTCTCATACACACACACACACACACACACACTCCTTATTACAGAGAGGAGCAGCTTTTTTCTGAGAGAATCATGACTTTATAGTATCCTTTATTGTTATTGTTATAGCCTTCAGTCGGCTTCCTCTAACAACGTGGAAAAATAGCAACTTCATGAAAACAAAATCCAGCCAGTCTGGTAAATGTCCTAAATACAGACTGTTATGTACATTACCCTAAATTATAAGGTTATGAATGAGTATTAGACAACTCATACAGAGTTGAAAGACTTGAAAAGAAGAATGTGGGCAGGAAATACTCACTGGTTAAGGCTTTGGGCTACTCATCAGAAGGTTGAGAGTTCAAATCCCAGCACTTTTATGCTGCCACTGTTGACTTCTTGATCCTTAGTTTCTTGGTTATATCCTCTCTCTTTGCTTTGGATAAAAGGATCAGCCAAATGAATAATGTAAATCCTGTGTATGTAAATGACTCTTAGATTTGTATTATGGGGATATGGTGGCTTAGTGGTTAGCACTGGCACCTTGCATCTCCGGAGCTGGGGGTTCGAATCCCACCTCCACCCTGTGTTCATGGAGATTGCTTGTTCTCCCTTTGCTTCGGGGTTTCCTCCAGTCCAAAGACATGAGTTGCAGGCTGATTAGCATTTTCAAATTGTAAGTGTGTGTGCGATAGTGCCTTGTGATGAGTTGGCACCCCATCCTGGGTGTCCCGCACCTTGTGCCCCGAGTCCCCTGGGAATAGGCTCTGGGCTACACCATGACCCTTTGTAAGATAAGTGGTACAGAGAATGGATGGATGTATGGATTTGTATTATAATTATATAATTATAATATAATATAATGAGGAATCGTATTTCTTCCTTGATGTATACTATTATTTTCCTGTAAACACCTTCATGAGATAAAAGTAAATGTAGAATCAAATATTTATGCACATCAACATTTTTTGTAAAATGTATAAAACAGCCTTTGGACTCCAAAAGATGTGTTTGATATACACCATGCAGCTTATATACAGATGCCAGTGTGTTTAAAGCAGCTGCACAAATGATGGCTTCTCCAGACTACATGGATCAGTGGAGAAATCGGTAACCTGGGAGAGTAGGGCAAGCAGATTTTCCTGTCTAGGCTAGTAGTTTCTTGTTGGTAGTTGCTCTTTGGATGAGTAGATTCAGGAACTAGAGAAAGAAAATAAACCCTACATGGTGTCCCAAAGGTCTCCATACATAGGGGAAAGTAACACTATATATATATATGAAAACCTTTAAGAAAGCCTTTGCCAAAAGAAAGAAGGTATTGAAATCAGTCTCATGGCTGTATCGGGAAGCTGTTGCAAGGTTGTGGTGGACTCTAACAGGAAACTTGGCAAGTACATCACACATGACACTGTTGCCAAACTTTTTAACAAATTCAAAAAGACTGGAAATGTTGCGGACCAACCGAGAAGTGGACGTCCACAAACATCCATTGATGAAGGCACAACTGACGTGGTGCTGACATACATAATCCCCTATGTATGGAGACTTTTGGGACACCCTGTGTTCCTACTGACATTTGCAAAACCAAAGTTTTCGTTTGCTATATGTTTAAATATAATGGAATTCATGTTAGTGCTACACACCTGGATACAGCACATGCTTCTGAAACCCAGCACCTGCTGCACTATATACATCAGCCAAGGCTGTTAGTAGAATATTTTTTTTTACTAAATGGCTTAATTAGCATGCACAGATGATAGACAGACTTTATGGAATCAGGAATATGCAGCTAGGTGGAAACAGACTACACATTTGTTTCACTTAGTCTGAATTAATCACTTAACTATCTAACTAACTGACCATATATTATCACATTATATTAGATATCTTTTTTTAGCCTGGCTATTATTTGCCCAGTGGACTAGCTAACACATTTATCATTTGTCCACCCTGTGGATTTGTTTATGATTACACAGCAAGTGGAACATCAAATGTTGCACATGACTTTTTTTTTATTGGAGGAGCAAAAGTTTCATCAATAGATCTCTCTCAAAAGTTTTTGTTTCACACAGAAACCACATTAAATCTTGCAGAATTTAGTATATATAGGGATTGACCTAGACAGGGTTTTGCTCCTTAATGCTCCCCAATTGCTCTCCTCCACTCCACCACCCCAGTGGCTTCTGTGTGGCCCACTGAAGCCACCCTGAGTGAGGAAACTCTGGCTGGGTAATTGGGATCATAATGACAGGGTGGTTAGTGCCAGCTGGGTGAGTAAGAAGGTCAGAGAGCAGCATGAGCCCAGGCTTATCTCCGTGTTTGAGCTGGATTCCATATGTCAGGAAACAATGTACTGCGAAGGACTATGGATGTCCCACAGTGTGCTGTGTCATTCTTACAGGCATACTGTAATACATACACACAGTATCTGCAAAACATGAGTCATTTTTTTCCTTCAGAAATTGCATAACTTCATCTTTTAAATTAAACTCATATAAGATACATCTTCATAAAATGTAGGTGCACCAATGTGAGCAATTAAGCTCTGTTGAAGTTCAAAGTTCAAAGCATTTATTGTCATGTGCAAAGTGAGGAAAGCAAGTTTCCCTGTACAATGAAATTCGTTCTTTGCTGTCCACATTGAATGCCAAGACAAGTGCAAACTGTAAAAATAAAGTTTCAGAGGTAGAAATATAGATTATGTATATAGAAATATACACTATGTACATCTGTATGTGTGAGTGTGCAATATTGACTTGTGCAAAACAGTAGTATAGTAACGTGCAATGTTGACTTGTGCAAAACAGTATTATAGTACATGTAGTAACGGTAATGTGTTCACATGTAGCAGTAATATGCAGTATATCTCTATGTGCGAGTGTGCAATATCGACTTATGTACAAAACAATAGTACAGTAACCTGTAGCAAATTGAGTGCAACTACACAATAATAATAGCAGCTGTCACATTTAACAATGTGCAAAACGAGATGAAGCTTCTCGATAAGAAGATAGCAGCAGTAACATTTACAAATGTGCAAATTGAGCTGTAGCAGTTCAGTCCACCTATTCTATGAGATATGTGAGACTAGTCTGTGTCCCCTGGCTACCCATTTAAAAGTCTAATGGCTGAGGGGAAGAAGGAGTTCCTTAGTCTGGAAGTCCTGCATTTCACACTCCTGTACCTCCGTCCTGAGGGTAGGGGTGTGAACAGTCCGTGTTGTGGGTGGGTTGGGTCCTTAAGGATGGAGGCAGCTCTCCTGTGGACTCTGCGGTGGTAAATGGTCTGCAGAGAGGGCAGTGGAGTCCTGATGATCTTCTCAGAATCAGAGTCAACTGAAGTAGTCCAGACTAAAGTGCTGATATTGCAGCATATCTTCTGAGGCCATTGGGAAATAACAGCCAATGAGAGTTTAAATATCTGTGTGGCCTGCCCTTCCTCCATCTTCAGGCCCATGTGACCTAACTGCTGGTAACCATAGCGATAGGACGCCCAGAGCGAACCATGCTGGCGTACATGAATCACACTTAACACTACACCACACTTCTTTTTATCCTCCTGTCATGAACGGATTTATTTCTTTTTGCTGTTTCTTTTTTTATTCCACCATTCAATGGCCATTTTATTCAATGGCTCATGAATGCACACACTGTGTCTTAAGAGGTGAAAAATGCTTAGAGGACAGTATGCATGTCCAGCCTCCTCTGTCTGATGGCTAAATGAACTTCCTGTGAGTTCTCCCTCTGCATGACTTTAAAAGTGGTGGCGCCAGTGTAAAAGTCATTCCTTTTATTTAAACAGCGGTCGTTTATCGTGTATGTTGGGTGCGATCATACCTCACTTTAAAGTCTAAATTAAGAAGAGAGGCCTCTTTTTCCACTCCCTCTTCACTGGCATTTTTAGTGTGATCTAATTTAATTAAAAGGGAAGTTGGCACTCTGGAGCCTATATATTACTTATTCATAGAGTCACTTTGTTTCCTGCGAGGCCGGTCTCTAGCCGTAAAGCACACAGGAGGACAAAGGCCTCTGTGCTCTCAGCATTTAATAAGAAAGAGTCGGGTCACTGATCCGAGCTCAGTGTAAACACAAGCCCTGGGAGGGGAGTCTGAGCTGGAGCAGTGTACTCTGGGAAATAAGCTTGTATACCGAAATTAAAGGGGGATGGGAGTATTTTTTTTTATCTCTTTGGACAGACAAAACTTATAGTATAGAGTAGGTTGGATGAGCCATGTTCAGTGTTCTGTCTCATGCTGACAGTGTTATAAATGTCTGGTGTCAAAAAGACTGATGTGTGCTCATGAAAAGAAATTGCTGAGATTCACCATTACTGTAATTCTGCACTTGACACCGATGTAAAGACTGCTCCGCACTCCACTGACTGTACCTGAGAGATCGATGGCCATGATTTTGTTGTGCTATGGATTATAGATATTTCAGGAGCATGTTAGAGAGCCCTCTGTATTCTCTCCATGCTGTCAGAGATGACCACTTATCATTTCTCAAAGAGGTATTCAACAGTGTCTCTTCGCGTCTATAGCGGTCATAGTCATATCTTTGCTAGCTTAGTTGAAATATCACGCATATTAACACTGAAATGCATTAAGATGCACAGGCTTCTTTATGGTTCTCTAAGCTCACTGGAGGGAGTATCGTAATGACTGAGTGCAAATGTGGACATATGTTACTGAAAGGGACTTCACACTTGCCAGAAATGAAATTACTTCCAGTACGCCGTTGACCAGGGAGATATATAACCATAAGCTCATTCTGCACCCAGAAGTCTAGCCAAGACAGGATGAAAACTCTCTGTAACTTTTATTGCACATCAAATGAAACTTTAATTGAATCCAAGCATCTAAATTGATTGTTTCTTTTTTATTTAAATTCAGCCATTCTTATCTAAACTCATGTTGAGTGAAAGTAAATATCGATTTTTGGAGAATATAAGCAATAAAAAAAAAAACATTTAAAAATCTTTATTTATCTTATATCTTCAGTATACTTCTGAATTTAAATGCAATCTTGAGTGGTTTGAGGTGAAGTTTTGAAGTCTCGTTCATCCTTTTGCCATCAGCTCATGTTTCACTGGCAGCTCTGCTCTGTCAGAGCCAGTTTGTGAAGTTCACCTTGCTAACTGGCAGGCAGATAGGTTTAAAGTGATAATAGCCTTTAATTTAAGCTTGTGGTTATTTTCTCAAAGCCTGGCCAGCATCCCAAACTGTAGCCTTGAAAGCATTAAATAGAAACCTTGGAAGTGTCATCAGTCACCATGGAATAACATGCTCTGCTGTTTCACCCATGAATGAAGATCTGCTTATTAATAACAGAGAATCAGATCTAGCCTTGATTTCATTCAGTTAGAAGATATCTAATGTGGCATAGGAAATTGAGACAGGAAACATTATTAACATGTAGCTGACCAAAAGTGTCCTACTTAAAGGATCAACAGTGGATTTCAGACTGGTCCCAAACACTAGCTCAGATGCCTAATCACTGACCTACCACTGATCAAACACACACTCAATAGCACGTCCAGCATGTCAACACTCTGAACCCTTTGGTATGTTTGCTTCTTGCCTGTGG